TTTCTAATAGGCCGTAAGACTTCATTGTCCAATAATTACATGAATGATACTAAAACACGTTATAAAAAAAACTTTCAACGTTATTTACAATATATATATATATATATATATATATATATTTGAAAATGAGTATCAATTTATACATAAAAACAAAATACTCAACAGATTAAACAAATCCTTGGAAAAAAGAGATCGAGAATTCATTCGATTATCAGAGAGATAATGTAAATATTTTGCATTCCTATATCGATTATCAGATTGTTTTGACTTATAAGTAGTTCATCGTTACCTATGTATATTTGACGTTTCACTTTGAAATAATAAAGTTGACCAGTGGCTCGTGAGCCCCAGTTCACGTGTTCTAATCAGTGCGAACGTGTTTCTCTTGAAGCGTCTCCGGTGCTCACAATTAAAAATGTAGTCTCTTTATATCAGAAATTTTATTAATCGGAAAAACGTTAATTGTACATATTGTTTTTCATATTAATAGCAATTAATTACTGAAACGAAGTATAATTTTAGTCATAAAGGTAAGATAAAACACATTTCGGCAAACATTAGAAATGATATACTTTGCTTAAGATGGCACAATTATTACACAATTAATTTGACGATTACATTAAAATTGTATCAATACGATTTTTGATAAATAAACTATTTCATAATTAAGTAATTGGCTTAATTTTCAATATAATTCATGAAAGTTACAATTATTTTCAAACACATTTCCAGCTACATATAATTTTATTAAAATCAGTAAAAGTAATGGCATACGTATATTTAGTAATAACTATTCTTTATTCAAAATAACGGCGTATAAGTAAATTATTCTATTATAAAGCCTAACGTTTACATGAATTATTTTTAGTCGTATTAAGACACAATTAAATAATTTTTCATTCACTGAACATGGAATATGCCTATAAAATAACAAAGGCTCCTTTCATTCGATAGCAAATGTAAAAGAAAAACCTACGGATACTATGAAATTTTTACTTTACAAAAGTAAAATTTAACAAAAATTCATAGTCAAAAGTTGAGTTAAGAATTAAGAAATTTAAGCACTCCATAGAGTGCGTTAATTAAATTAAAACAAAAAAAAAAAAAAATATATATATATATATATATATAGTGTCTTTACAATTTGGATTGTGAATCGAGCTTTTTGCACATCCAAGCTAATAAGCAATGGTCGCAAACGTCAGGGATGCTGAAAAGAGGCGAGACAGCCAAAGATATCGAAGAAAGTGAGAAACCAGATTCGACATCAACAATCTCGATGAAGACATCTATCCGTGATAAAAGGTGGGTCTATGAATAATACAAAATCCCTTATTTCCACAAAATAACACTCTGTCTTTCTTCCATATGTGATCGATGTATATAAAGGTGTCTATATCATACCAAGAATTTGCATTATTTTAATCGGGGGCTTCCGAATTTTTATCACGAGGTAGCGAAGAGCATGTATTTTTAAACTCCCAAGATTTTTCGACTCGAACGATACTTTACTACAGTTTATCATTCAACAAGTGGGGCGGCCTTTTTAATTGTTGATAATAGTAAATAATGTATTAATATGTATCAGATAGAAAAATCGTTAACATTTCTGTATTGGAAAATTATACGAGTCTTTGATTAAAGCTTTAATTTCATTGGTCAATTTGTATTGCGTAGACTGTAGCTTTTTCATGGAAGTCTAGGTTGTGGAATAAAGTAATAACAACTCAATATATAAATGCCATTTTATTACTATAAATATATTATATTATATAAACATAAGCAACTATTTTAATAATATGATTATTAAAAAAATATATTTATATAAACAAATAATGCAACAATTGTACTTTGTTAATATTAAATTCCTCGTTTAATTCTTATGAATAAGAAATTAGTTATTACTGTTCTAAAATTTTTATTATACCCACGTTCATAATTTTATATATATATATATATATATATATATCAAATTATTTAGTATCTAAAATTCAATATTATACACACAAATGCACATATCCACGTATATAATTTTGTGTAGTAAAACATTTGATTTGTACTTATTCTTCGAAATATTCTTTAATTTTTATGATTAAACGTGTTGAAAAAAACATAAAAATTAAAAATTATATGTACTACGAAAATCTTATGGGAACAATTATAAATTATTTGACTCCCACTAAACTTTAATAAAAAAAATATTTCTTATATATTACACGTTTGCTGTTACTAACTTAAATATATAAACTTTTTAATACCTATGATTGTACATGTGATATTAAAGAATTTTAATTCAATCTCATATACAGAAATTAATACATTAAATATAGAAAATTTCCGAAGCAACTCTCTGAAATTATCTAAAATACGTAATAAAAATATGTATGAAAAAATATATAAAATTTTCCCTTATATTCTAATGTTTATTTCGCCATTAAGTTTTAGTTAAAAAGTAATTATATCCTGTACCTTTTTTAATACAATTTCTATGGAAATTTAACAATAATACAAAAATATCATTCATTCTTTCACTAGAACAATTGTATTCACGCTTTATGTTCACGACCTACTGATTTTTAGATCCATTCAAGTACATTCGCTCATTACTTTCATTTCCTTTACCGTTATGATAAATAATCTAATGCGTGTCTTCGATTTAAGCATTTTTATTATTAAAATATTCTAATTTCTGTTAGTGCTCGTTGAGACACTTTGTAAATATAAGAAATACCCATAAACTGATAAATACAAAACTATATAAACAATTTTATTAATTTGATGAATTTATTAAAAATTTTCTATATTTCATAGATACACTAATATTATGATCATACAATATATGTAATCAACAACAGTATTATAATGAAATTATGATCAATTACGTAATTTACGTACGATCCGTGCCTGTCATTAAATGGTTGTCATGTTGACAATCGGCATTATGTTGATATGTTGATTATTATGTTGATGGCAAGGTTAAAGTATTATAAGCCGCGGAAACGATTTTACGTTCATTACTAAACGCTCTTATCCAAATATTACGAGAATCATATAAAATATCGGCAAATTTTTATCGTTATAAACACATTTTATCAAAATGTTCAAGCTAAACGTAGCCAATATCAATTAGTAATAACTTGTGTACTAATTGTGTATTTTACGCAGAGCAAGAGAAATAATTGAAGCCAAACTAAATGAGCTCCTTCTACTTAATTAAACTATGGGTAAATGGTAACAATAATTTTAAAGTATAAAACTTCATAATTTCAATTGCAACTGAATGATACCTTATGATATTAATCATAGAGTTGTGATGGAATGTGATAATGATTGATGAAGTAATTTATCATTACACTTAAAAAGATATATAATTTAATTTTCAATCAATAACATTCTAGCTAAAACATTATTATTCATAAGAAGATTATAAACAAAAATATATTATATTATAAAGCTCCATATGAAATATTGAGAATTATAAATAATAGGGAGTCATAATAATAAGGATAAAATATTTCTTCTTATAAAGGTTATATAAGATTTTTATGAAATAGTAGGTGATTTTTCGAATAGATTTTTCTGTTTGAAAGTACTAGCAGAACATGTTTAGTTGTTTAGAAATATGAATTTTTTTTTTTTTTTTTCTTCATAGCAAGATATTATTTGTACTTTGTAGAATATTTGAATACGTGTGCAGCTGTTATTACAAGTTGTACTGTAATTTCCGTTAAGACCAAAGTTGCACGTAAGAGTTATGAAAATTACTGCCTACTTTTCTTTGTTCTTGTATATTATACGAATGATTCTAATAATTTAATATTAAATTTTTTATTGTGGGTGTGCATAGTAAACAGGAAGAACATCAAGTAACCGAATGTTTGTCACCAATCAAGTGCTCACAATTAAATGCTCGTAATTTTCGCAATTATATATGAAAACACAATAGATATTACTTATTAAATGAAGAAGAAAAAACTGTTTTCGTAAAATGCTTCAATTAATATCACTTAATTAATTCTCCTGCTATTGTATGTTCTTGTAACAATCTTTTCATTTGCAAAGAGAAGTTTTTTTTTCTCTCGATATGCGTCTGAAATTATTTTCAAAATATCATCGTCGAGTGCATGCACGTCACAATAACGAAAACTAAATGCATGCGATATACAAAATTACGTACAATGTTCGTTAGAAAATATAAAAGAAAAACCCAATTCACAAAATGATTATTTTGCTTTGCAATTTGCGGTGACGAATTTTTGTAATTTATATCAATCTACTTCTCCCGAATAATTAAAAGGTAAGTTTTATGTATGCTTTAATTGGGCGTAGCTATCCGCCTTAATTAAAATCAAGTATATTTAGCGGCTATTTTCAACATTGAAATGAAAACGCCTTTCGTCCCGTGCAATTATGACATGTTGAAAGAATGAAAGAATTCTATCCACCCGTCAATAAACGAGTTGGGACTATTTTCAATCGGGCCCATTGGTCAATGTGAAATTGACTCAACCACGTTTCACTGAGAAAAACGTATTGTAATAGTTAATTTACTAATGCCAAGCAATCCTTATAATATCGCTCGTTTCAAGAAATTAGAATAATTGCCAGCGAGGATCATACGTTACAAAGCAGCGCGATGGAGCAATAATCTCAACTACGATATTATCGACGCCGCCTTACCGATTGCCCGACCTCTTGACCGATACAATAAAGCATTAACCGCACATTGTTTCCATCTGCAGTGCGGCCTTACGAGGGAGGAGACCCCTCGGAATCATCGCAACTCAAGTATTGCCGTGGCACCCCGATACTCCCCGGAACCCTCGAGCAGCCCAAGCCCTTGCACTCCTCCTTCCTCTCTCGTTCGCAAATGTGAGAACGAGATAAAGAAAAAAGCCGAGCCGCTGATATGTCAGGCACGTGTGCCTAATCTTGCGCTCTACGTGTACGTACACGCACGCACACGCCCAGACCGAACGAACCAAACGATCAGCCGCGCGCTGCTCTTTATCAGTCAAGTGCGTTCTCGTGTGTCGAACGGTCCAACCCGCATCGGTTCTCAGCCACCCACGTCTCTCCTCGCATCCGTGCGTCCTTCTTCTTGCGACCTCGACACTGGTGGGCCCACTCATCCCCCGCGCAACCGATAAGAAGCCACCAGCAAGGTATCCGTGGTTAAGAGACTGGACGAGACTCGCAGCACAGCTAAACTGGGCACGCTGGCGCAAATACATCGCAATGTGTCTCCTTAGTAAGTTTAACCGATCTCCCTTATCGACACTAGCCGTTCCTCAATTAACGCACGATCTCAATAACTCTTGCAACAATACGATATTATCTTATTAACAATAACAATAACAATAACAATAATGTCTCGGCGGAACAAAGTGATGGCGTCGAGCGCTAATGATACACCGAGGAATTTTCCGGTTAGTCACTTAATTGCGAACGACATTTGGTAATCCTTAAGTTTTGCGCGTCTCCCCTCCCCCCTCACGCCCCGTCACGCTCACTCACTCACTCTCTCTCTCTCTCTCTCTCTCTCTCTCTCTCTAACTCTACATTTACATAATATGTTTTCATTGAATTTTACAGGGCAGCGTACGTTATTGCGGCTCGATGCTTGTTGGGCACGATTTTACATACGATACATTCCATTACCCTTCATTTTACAATTGCCACTCTTTTCAAATCGAAATATCATTCTGTCCGATCTGCAATGTCAAAGACTTTAATCAGCCGAGTAAAATCATTGAAATACTTATTCGCGATGAAATGCATTTCGATATTCTTTTCCATTTAGTACAAACTGCACACTCGACGCCACTTCGTTACCTTTGGATGACATTAATGATACGCCACGGGATTTATCGATCGAATTTCACTTAACTCTACTTGGATTTTCGCTTCTATATCTGAAAAATAAATAATAATTGGCAGTACCGAAGAAAAACTTGTCATACGCAATAGAATTTATTTAAAAGCCATTATTGAAATTATTCCAGACTAACTTTTTTATATGAACAAAGCGAGCACTTATATTATTCTGATACAAACGATAATTTTCTATTTAAAAACAAAAAAAAAAAAAAAAAAAAAAAAAAAAAAAAAAACTGTACAATTGAAAAAACCGATAACATTGATTTTTATCAATCTTGGACTCGAAACTTAATTAATGCCTTCTAAAACTGTAGTTAAAAAATCAAGAATATAAGGTTTGCGGGTGCTGATCCTTTAAATATAAAAATTCATCCTTATCACAAACAATAGATAAAAATATCGCATCTTATAATTAATTGTATATTCATGTATTAAAAATATGTTTTTAAATGAAAGTATGAGTGAGTAAAGTCGCGTACACCGTTAGGAAGGTAAAAGAAAATGGTGGTAAAATTTTGTAATTTATGAATTGCATGAGAATGCGCATATTCAGGAAAACATTTTCAAGAAAATTGACACAAATAGCTACGTTTACGGCGCATCCTTTGTATAAGAAATTTCTATGAAATTATTTTAAAACTAGGCTAAATAACTTATACAAGAATTAAAACTTTACTGGCGTAAAATCAATTTATAATCTATTAAAGATAATATCACGTTATCTTTCGTTGCAAAAATGTTCAAATCAAATAATATTGATAAATTTTAATTAAATAATTAAAGAATGCTTCGATCGCTTTAAATATACGTAATATCTAATATTTTTTATTACTAATAGTCGTTCATTTTTACAAAGTAAAATACAATAAGACGATAGATTTGACATTTATAAATTGTCTCGTTTCTCAAACCCATTACTATTAATATATTAGAATAATCATTAAGAAAGACTATTAATGTAAAATTTCACAACAAACATATAAATTGGAAGGTCTCTGCATTAATAAGATACCATAGTAAAATAATATATTTTTATGACATTTTTAAAGCTGTATTTGAGCACTTTTTAGCACATTGAAACAAATTAGCGAAAGAATGTTATTATTAAAGTAAATTGTTTTTTTTGAAAAATGAAATTTTTTTATCTACAATATCAATATTTTTTCGTTAAAGTGTATTTACAAAATTACGTTCTATTTGAATTATAATTTTTTCTCATCTCATCAATAATTGAAAGTTTTCAATAAATAATTGTCTATTTAATAATGTAATATAATTTTATATCATATTATTTTATTTTTTTATTTTTTTTTTTTTTTTTTTTGGAAAACTAACTATCAAATACTATTATCAATTACAATAATAAAAAATAGATAATTATAGAATTAATTCTCCAATAATGTAAATGGCAAAATTAACAGAATATTGACAATAAAATATTTTAATCAAAGATATAAGTATACTAACTACGAAATTACCCATCATAAAATGCATTAAAGCTTAATTCTATTTATCACTAACATTTACATCTTAAAAGTCTTTTCTAAAATACAAATGCATGATGCAATACCAACACATATCATTGGAAAATTTATAAAAATATACTAAAAATGTTCAATATATAATATAAAAAATCATTTTTAATATTTTTCGTATTTATAATTTAAAATTAAAATTCTAAAAATTAACTAATCTTCTATAGATCAAGCATATTTACGGTTTGATAACGATATAATAGGTCTCTCAATAAGCCCTCTCATAAAAGTCTTAAAATTAAAATTATATGACTTTTATGAATCTTATAAGAACTTTGGAATTATAAAAATCTAACAGTGATAAATACAAATATATATATATATATATATATATATATATGGCAAAATTAACAGAATATTAACAATAAAATATTTTAATCAAAGATATAAGTATACTAACTACGAAATTACCCATCATAAAATGCATTAAAGCTTAATTCTATTTATCACTAACATTTAAACAAATATATATTAAAAAAGTCTTTTAAAAAAAAAATATATATATATATATATATATATATATATATATATATATATAATTAATATTAACTATAACATCATTGGTATATACACTTGTGTAAATATATATATTTTTTTTTTAAATATATATATGAGAAATTATCCGTCATTATAATTGTAATATTCATGCAGTGAAGATTTTCAAAAAATTTTTAATACAATGATTAAATTAACTTTGTTATAAGTTAAACATTCTTTTTTTTTTCTTCTTTTTTTTTTTTTTTTAATAAACTGTTGTTTAAAATAATATGTTCTTTGTTTAAAATGAGAATACATTTTATCATAATTTTTTTTTAATAAAATACAAAAAAAATAATGCTTATAGCGATCCAGCGATATTCTATTCATATGCACACCCGGAGATATTTAAAAGTTTTTTCGATTATACAAATTTTTCATGAATGCATAAGATTAATTCTAATTCCAAAAGCTTTTCTTACTGAGCTACATAAATGTTTTATTTTATGACACTCATAAATGGAAAATCTCATTTCAATAAAAATGATAGGATAAAGTTATCAATGTATTCGAAGTACAATACTCGAGTGCATCAGCAACAAAATCTCACCTTGATTACGAAAATAGATGTGAAAAATAAAAAGAGTAATGATTTGATGAGTATAAACTTACAATAAAAGTATCGATATAATACGATAGGATCATTATATTTCTCCAGCACAGAAACTTTGACGTCAATAGATTTACGATGAAAATTATCGAAAATAATACATCTTGATCTCATCGATGACAATTGTATCGAACGTCTTTTATTCACAATTTATTAAATGTCAGTGTCTTACATTTCTTCATTGAAACAAAAGAATAAAATAAATAAAATAACGATTGGCTTCATAAATGTATATCCGAGGAATATTTGTCGTGTAAAACCAATTCAAAATCTACTGTCGTTAAATCTACTGTCGTTGTACATTTTAATATATAAAATACATATATAAAAAAACATATAAAAGTATACAGCAAATAGTCAACATATTATTTCTATGGTTTGTCGATACTTATGATTTTGAAATGTTTTTTATAATTTGTTCCATAGATCTAATTGTTCCATACATCTAAATAAGTTACAAGATTTCGAGAACTAATAATCATAAAATATATAATTAACAATAATACAAACTTATTTTATTTTAATATAAATAGTAATATTTTAATTATATTCAATGTACAATTATTATAACATATTTTATAGTCACATTGTTACAAAAGTATTACCTATTTTTTATATAGTATAAATTCCAGATTAATTTGTGTAAATTTCCATCAATTTCACAAAAATGCTGCGCATAAAATATCACGTAACATTATCATCCAAAATGATAACAATAAGCAACTAAACAAATATATATCAAGATTTTCTTGTTGCTATTTATTATTATTATTGGTATTATTATTATTACTGAATATTGAAATTTTTATAAAATTTGTAAATTTCGTGGTATGCATTTAAATTCTAATTTTTTTTTTTTTGTTAAACATTATTTTTCTGAAGAACGCAATATGCTTGTGAATAGATAATTCGCTGGTTTTAATGCAGTTTTTGAACAATTATAGTTTCATAAAATAATTTCAAATTTAGACTATGCAAATGAAAAAAAACCTTTTAGTTTTTAAACTTATAAATTTCTAATTTTTTTTAACCTTTTTTTTTTTTTTTTTTTTTTTTTTGATGATTTCATGAATGTATTTATTACTTAGTAGTTATCGCTTTTAGCGATTGTTTCTTGCTTCGTATATAATATTTAAATATAAATTATAATGATAAGAAGAGATCTTTAAAATATTGCAAAAATACGGTTCGGCATGACAATAATCATCATAATAATCAATTTTTATAATTTATCAAATTTCATTAATGTTGAATTACAATACAAAATATAAATAAAGTCTAATTAATTAATTTTTTTTATTTTCCTAGAATTACCAAATAATAGAATTTTACACGAATTTTTATGCAATCTTATTACAAAATGTGCTAAATGATAAAAGTAATAATAATTACTTTTATATACTCTGAATACTAAAAAAATTCCAATCCAAATGGACGTATATTCAACATTGATTTCACAAGTATTGTAATAAATATCAACTATTAATTATAATCTCAATAATATTAATATAAAAAAAAGAATAGAAAAAAAGAAAGTACAATTCTATCATTATTATATCATAAATTAATTAAAGCTAAGAAATAAATAGAAAATTTTTATAATTTACAATTTTATTATTACTTAAACATATTTGGCATACTTGTGAAAATCAAAATACTCGTGTATTATTTTGTAGTTTATCTTTTCTT